CCAGCAATCCCACCCTGGGCATCCCTGGCAGTGCTGTCCAAAGGCTCCTGGAGCTCTGGCAGCCTCGGGGCTGTGCCCATTCCCTGGGGAGCTTGGGCAGTGCCAGCACCCTCTGGGGGAGAGCCTTTCCCTGATATCCAAACTAAACCCCCCTGGAACAGCTCCAGCTGTGCCCCTGGGTCCTGTCAGTGATCACCAGAGAGAAAAGATCAGTGTCTGACCCTTCAGCTCCCTTCATGAGGAACCTGCAGACCAGGGTGAGGATTTCCCCAGTCATACATTGTCACCTGGTCTTGAACTGATCTTTTTGTATCACACCTCTGCTCATAGCTCTTCCATTTTTTTTCAGTTTAACACATCATTTTGACATGTTGATAATAATGATTTCAACACAAAAACTATCTACTCTGCCTCCAAGACCTGTCCTCCTGGCATTGCACTTTGCACTTGTCTCTACCTCCACACAGGGATACCTGCTAGTGTTGAGTCATTCAGAAATCCTATGTGTCTTTGAAGTTACCTGATATTGCTGTTGTATTTCCTTTGGTCACAGGCTTTGGGAAGTCAACACGTATCCTCTATAGCACACCACAGCCAGCTACTGCTTCATCATATTTTTCTAGGTCTAGGGTTATTTCATACAATCACAGAGTGGTTTGGGTTTGAAGGGACCTTGCAGATCATCTTGTTCCACAGGCAGGACACCTTCCACTAGACCAAGTTGCTCAACCTCTTTTGTTCTTTTTAGCAGACAGATGAGAGATACCACTGAGCTGTTGCTGTCTCTGCACATGACATCCTTTGTGAGGATGTTGAACTGCTCACGCACACTCGGAGACCTTAAGGGAGATGCTCATGTTCTTGCACTGCAGCCTCAAATCCAAATGGGACTGACAGCCATTTGTAGCTAATGTCCAAAATGTGCTGAGCTATGTGGTTTGAGAAACGTGGACCTGGAGTTAGACCAGAGGAGGCCACGGAGCTGCTGCCAGGGCTGAAGCCCCTCTGCTCTGGAGCCAGCCTGGCACAGCTGGGGCTGTTGAGCTGCACAAGAGAAGGCTCCAAGAAGATGTCACTGAGCACTTTCAGTACCTAAGGGGATCCCATAAAAAAGATGGAGAGCAACTGTTACAGAGCAGATAATGAAAGGACAAGGGGAAATAGTTTTAAACTAAAAAAGGAAAACTTAGATTTTATTTTAGGAAGAAATTCTTGCCTTTAGGGTGGTGAGGCTCTGGCCCAGGGTGCCCAGAGCAGCTGTGGCTGCCCCTGGATCCCTGGAAGTGTCCAAGGGCAGGTTGGACAGGGATTGGAGCAACCTGGGGTAGTGGAAGCTGTCCCTGCCCATGGCAGGGGGTGGAATGAGATGAACTTCCAGCCTTCCAACCCAAACTACTCTAGGATTCTGTGACTAATTAAAAGGACATAGCAATATCCAGCTTTGGTGTCAGGGATCAAGTTTTGCAGTTTGCTTTACTAAATCAAGTATTATTTCACAGAATTATAAAATAGTTTGGATTTGAATTTGCATGAGACCTTTAAAGGTCATCCAGTCTTACTCCCCTGCCAAAGGCAGGGATAACTTCAGTGAGATCAGGTGTCTGAAAGCCCTGTCAAACCTGACCTTGAATGTTTCCAGGGATGTGGCATCCACCAGCTCTCTGGCCAGCCTATGCCAGTGCTTCATCACCCTCATCAAAAAAAACTTCTTCCTAATGCCCAATCTAAATCAATGCTCTTTCTGGAGGTACAGGCGTACAGCTGGGAGCTCTTTCTAGAGCAGATGCACATCCTGCCTGCCTGCCTGCCCTTCTCCACAGCCCCCCTGCTTCTGAGGTAACTTCTGGCCTCTGGGATTTGCAGCCATGATGCTGCCTTCCTCCATCAACTTTCTTCCTCCTGCTGCTTGCAATTTCCTTTCCTAGAAAAAGGTTTATGCAAATGTTGGATTTGTGTGCGTGCGTAAGGGTCCCCCAGCATCAGCTGGCCAACATTTTGACTGATTTCAACCACACCTGAAAGAGAAGTAGAGCTTTTGGAAACACAAAGTCTGTCGAGCTTCATGGCAAGCAGCAGCCATGTCAGAGAAGACACGTGTTGTTAAGTGCTCTGCCGGGGAGAAAGGCAGGCAGAGCTCAGCCTTATCAGCACTGCTTGACTTCCTTGGCAGTAGATAAGGGGCAGGCAGCTGGCCAGCCAGAGCACACACATCCCTGAACCAAGCACAGCATGTGCTGCTCCAGACAGAAGGCCACACAAGTAGACTGGGGACATAGAAAGGAGATTTGGCTGTATCAGGAATCAGCCTTGGAGATAGGAGGAGAGGGAGCCATGAATCGGTTGTAGAGGAGAGGTGAAGGGAATGTCTGAGGCAAATCCATAGGAGAACTGAGCTTAATTCAACTACTCTTCATAGGAAAAATAATCTCTCTGAATGCAGTGAAACCTCCATAAAGCAAGTGCAGCATTGCCTGAATAGTCTGTATGTGTTTCCAGGCACAACATGACTGGAACACCTTATCTTTCAAAAACATGATGGCAATCTCTCAGATCCCTCTGCTTTGTCTGCAGAGGGGATCTTCTCCATTTCACTTCGCTGTTAATTTCATGACCAACTTGAATCTCAAACATTTGGAACTGGCTGAAAATGCTACCAAAAAAATTAAACCACATGTCTGCTTCAAGCTGGGAAAATCCAGGCACAGACGAGGCAAGAGGGGGATTTCTGTGAGTCCACATTCTGTAGAAGGGCTAAATATTGTGAGGTGTCTCACCTTGCTCCTGGGAATACCAGCCCTGTTGAGATGGGAGCTTTGCCCAAGACACTGAATCATAACACCTACATCAGAGAGTGCAGAAACCCTCTCAGTCTAGAAAATGAGCATGACTCTGGAGAGACAACTGCTATGTTAGGGAGAGGTGACCTCAGGTGTGAAGGAAGTGGCTTGAAGTGGAGATATATGATATATACTAAAGTATTGAAAAGGCAAAAGCAAAAAAAAAAAAAAAACCAGAGGATCTCCAACAGACCTACAGCAAATCTGGAACTGACCTTCTCACCTCAACAAACCCCATTAAATTCCCACCTTGTGGCTTCCCACCTGTAGAATCATAGAATGTTAAGAGGTTGGAAGTAACCTTAAGAGTTCATCTGACCCCCACTGCCATGTGCAGGGACACCTTCCACAATACAGGTTGCCCCAAGCCCCATCCAACCTGGCTTTGAGCACTCCCAGGGTTGGGGAATCCACAACCTCCTTGGGCAACCTGTCCCAGTGTCTCTCGACCCTCACAGCAAAGAATTTCTTTCTAAGATCTAGCCTAAACATCCCTTCTTTCAATTTCTACCCATTCCCCCTTGTCCTGTCACTGCAGTTCCTGACAGAGAATCCCTCTCTGGCTTCCATGTGGGCCCTTTTGGATACTGGAAGGTGCTGTGAGGTCTCCACAGAAAATTTCTCTTTTCCAGGCTGAATAGCCCCAGAGAACCTGCTGGGTATCCTTGCAAAGGTCTCTACAGACACAACAGCCATGGGTTTCACAGTGGGTCCCCAAATATGCACTGTCACAACAGGCTCTGATTCCCTTATGGTGACCCTGGGCCCCTGCTGGGGCACAGGAATTTGGTTACCTTTCACCATTACCTCAACACAAGTGGTTAAAGCTTTGCAGATACTATTGAGGACAGTAGCTAAAAAAAGACCCAGCATATGGGGGGAACCCCTATGTTAAGAGTTAAGAGTGTGTAAAGAGTTACTGAGTTTGGGGTGCAGGCAGCAGAGGGAGGCTGGGCAGACTCTGGGGCTGCCTTGTGTCCCTGTCACACCTTGGGACCCCTGCCCTGGAACTGTTGTGCTGGACATGGAGCTGTGGGCAGTTTGAATCTATTTAGAACAACAAAATCGTTCAGGCTGGAGAAGCTCTCCGAGACCAGTGAGTCCAACTGTGACACCAGCACTGCCGAGGCCACAACTGACCCATGTCCCCAAGTGCCACATCCACATGGCTTTTAAATCCCCACAGGGATGGAGACTCCACCACTGCTCTGGGCAACTTGTACCAGGGGTGGGCAACCCTTTCCGTGAAGGAATTTTCCCAATGTCCAACCTCAACATCACCTGAGGCCGTTCCCTCTGCTCCTGTCCCTGTTCCCTGGGAGCACAGCCCGACCCCCCCGGCTGTCCCCTCCTGTCAGGAGCTGTGCAGAGCCACAAGGGCCCCCCTGAGCCTCCTTTGCTCCAGGCTTAGCCCCTTCCCAGCTCCCTCAGCCTCTCCTGGGGCTCCAGCCCCTTCCCAGCTCCGTTCCCTGCCCTGCACACGCTCCAGCCCCTCAGGGTCTCTCTTGTCCCGAGGGCCCAGAGCTGTCCCCAGCACTGGAAGTGCCTCAGCAGTGCCGGCACAGGGGGGCGGTCGCTGCCCTGGTCGTAGTGTCACACTATTGCCGGTAGAAGCCAGGTACCACAGCCCACCCGTGCAGGTCCCAGCTGGAGTCCAGCGGCAATTCCCGCCGGTAATCGATGCACTCATTCTCAGCTCCCACCGTGCCCGCCGCGGAGGGATATGGAGCGGGGGCGCCGCACTGCGGCTGCGCTGCAGCAGCTCATCCAAGCCTCCGACGCGCGCCGATCAGCCTCCCGCGGCGGGCGCGCGCGATGTGACTGCCAGCCGAACCAACCAATGAGCGCTGCGACCTCGACCCGCCTCCCTTCGCCTCACGCCTCTTTCTTCCACTCCCCTTCCCTTGTCTTTTTTTTTTTTCACGCTGTGGGCACCCTATTCGCGATTCTGTGTGCCAATTAGACCCATGGACCAATCGCAGTGCGGATCTTTAAAGAAAAGATAAAGGCAGCCAATGGGCGGCCTCCCCGCCCAGCGGCGGGGGCGGGGCGGCTCGGGGGGCGGGCCCTCAGAGGAGGTAACGCTGAGGGAAGAGGCGGCGGCCGCACAGCACTCGGAGGGACGGAGGAGGATAAGGAAGGGGAGAGGAGGAAGAAGGAGGCGAAGGAGCGGTGGCTCTCGGCGGATCCTGGTGGCTCCCGGTAGGTGCTGGTGGGTACTGGCCCCGGGGTCCTGCCCCATGGGCAGGGTCGCTCCGCTGGCGCTGCGCGGGCCGTGAGGAACCGTCCGGGCCTGGTCCCGGCGGGGCCGGGGGCGCCTCCCTACGCCCTCGCCCTTTTTGTTGTGGTGGGACCCGGGCTTGGTTATCCCGCTACCGCCGGCATTACCCCCGGGCTGTGGTGGGAGGGCCGCGCTGTGCTGCCCGTGTGTGTGTGGGTGAGGGGAGGGAGGAATAAAGAAGTTGTGCCGCTCCCTCTCTCCCCCGCTCTCCCTCTCCCCCGCTCCTTCTTTCCCCCGCTCCCTCCCTCCGTGCCCGGTGTGTTTTCCTTGCAGGGGTCCGCAGAATATCCCGAGCTGGAAGGGACCGGCGGGGATCATCGCGTCCAGCGCTTACCGCTGCACAGGACACCCCTATGTGCCTCCTGGACGTGCAGTCAGGGCTGTGTGTGCGAAACTCCGTGGAGTTTTGGAGGAGAAAGTTAGCAGCGGTGTGGGGTGAGGGGTTGTGTTTGGAGCTAAGAGTTTGTGTTTGGGATGGCGAGGCCTCGCCTCACCCTTTTGTCTGTCCCCTCTCCTTGTCTGCAGAGCCGCGGGTGTAAAATACACACAGCCCACGTGAGTAAGGACTCGAGGTTACTGGTTTTATTCACGCCTTTAATGCTGCAGCATCCTGTGTGTTGTCAGTGGGTAGGGGTAGGTGGGATACTGGGGAGAAATTCCTCCCTGCGAGGGTAGTGAGGTGCTGACACAGGCTGCCCAGAGGAACTGTGGCAGCTCCATCCCTGGGTATTGTTTGTAAACAAACACAACCAGGTAATGTCTCATCTGTCCCGATAAGTGCATGGAGGAAGCTCTGTCGTGATAAGGGCAAGTGGTTGGTGTTGTTGCTGCAGAGTTGTGGAGTTCCTGTTTGTAGGGTTTTTTGGTTTGTTTTTTTTTTTATTTTGTGGAGAGTGGAAGGGAAGAGAAGTGCAGTGCAGCGTGGTCTTTTAGTGTTCACTCTGGGGAAATAAAAGAACGGAAAAAAGCGTGTGAATGAGCGAAGAGCTCTTGTGATGATTGTGGAGAGCTGTTGAGCAGCTGGCATTCAGGCTGCAGGCTAGTCTTGTGTCTCTGGTCGTCCGTCACAGTTTCTGACTGAGAAAAACCCAACACGTGTGTTGTGCTCTTTTCAAATGCTTGTGAGTCGGGTAGCATTAGGAAAAAGTTTGTTTACTGGGCTAACCAAAACGAATGTCTCCAAAAACCTGCAGCCTGTGTGTGTATTGTGTGCGGAGCTCATGCTGTCACAGTCCAGGGGTGTAAAGGGGTTAGATTCCATTGGTAGTGAGAGGTTCATAAAACAGCTTGTTAGGAGGCCGCAGGTAACAGCAGGTTTGTCTTTTCTCAAGCGTTCTGTCTTAGCCTGGAGAGCTGTACTTTCAGACTGATTCATGACATTACTGCTGTGGGGGCTGGCCTCTGCAGTGAGGGACTGATTAGCTGTTGCTCTGTTCTCCAGGCTGGGAAAGAAACACCTTCTGGTTGAGGTGAGAGGCCAGCAGAGCGAGGTTGCTTGTTTAGATTTTCTCATGCTTTGTCGAGGTGTTGGTGCGTGAGTGGGTTGTTTGTGTGCTCCTTCTGAGGCACAGCTTTCAAACTTCTAACATTTACAGGCTCCAGTGAATTCGGGGGGGATGAGAGAGTGTGAGTAAAGGAGGTGTCTGTGAAGTCCCTTCCTCCCTTTGCTTAGCACTATCATGATGAAAGATAACGTTAGTTACAAATGCCTTGAAGAAGTGGAAGGGGAGGGTCTTGTTTAAGGTGTTTTCCACTTGAAGATGAGTCTGAGCATATGTTGGACAGCATCTTGGGGTGTTGAAAAGAGTAACCTGGCACCTGGTTGTTGTTCTGCAGTTGCGTGGGTCAGATACACAGACAGTCAACAAAAGAAGTGTAAGTGTTTGAAGATCCAGTTTTTTTCATTGAAGAGGCTGGATGTGCGTGATAGAACCTTGGAGAAGAATTCATCAGCTTTCCTGAGGTTTTGTTTAACAGTAAAAGAAGCAGGACAATTGAAGCAATTGAAAAAATGAGGTTAAAGATTTGGTCTCTGAATTGTTTTCTTGTTTCCTTCCACCCGGCAGCTAGATTGACCAACAAAATCAAATACCCTGGAGTTGCACAGTGAATCTCCAAATGAAAGGCTCTCCCTGGGTCCTCCTCCATCTTCCTGTTCCACTTGATCTTTCAGAAGTCTTGAGCACCAGTTGATATAATTGAGTTTATTGGAGCTCAAAAAGCCCTCCCTGCTACTGAGGGCAACTTTAAAAAACAAACCTTGTTTCCATCTCTCTAATCCCTTTCCCACTAAAGTACTGGGAGAACAGGCTTTGTAGTATGTTCTGGGTAACAATGAATCTGAGCTCTCCTTGAGACTGAAGCAAATTCCTAAGTTTTGTTTGTATAAAGAACAGTACGCAAAGTTTTAATTATTATAAAAAGTATTCCAGAGTTTTCAAATGTATTCAGTGCTGCCTTAATGGTTGTGCATGTAAATGCCCTGTAATTGAAAGCATCCATTTATGGGCCTGACTTGCTAAGTGAGCTGTAAATTCTGCTTTTCAGATTGGATTTAATGACTTTTATCATAAAGCCATAAACTGGTTGTGAACTGTGCCGAGAGGCAAACAATACCTAAGCTTACTTTGCCAAAATATTTGTAATTGTTGATTTGTTAAACTGAATTGCTGCAGGTCATGCGATGGGATTAGGTTTTTGTAATAGAATGGAGAGTACAGGCAGCCCTGTGCTCAATACTCTCTGGGCTAGAAGAAATTGGCTACTGCAGAAAACCTCTCTAAACATTCCTCTCCACTTCCAGTAACAGAAACTCCATTGCAAACAGTAAGTCTTCATTCCAGATGACTTTTTACTCTGATTGTGTGTTTGACAGCCACAGTGTGAACGAAGACCAAGCAGAGACTGCAAGAGGGAAGCTCCTGAGTCTCCCATCAGTTTAGTCTGGGGCTTGAGCTTGGTTTAAAACCCTGGAGCAATAGGAGATTAACATCAGATAGATATATAACATAATGGAACCTTGCTTATCAAGGGGGTGGGGGGCTGGCTTGTCTGAGGAACACTAGGCCTCCATTGAAAGTGAACTCGCATTAACTAATTGTTAAATGCAATTGTTTGGGCTTTAACAAAGTGGAGGAGCTGCTAAGCTATAAACTGAAACAGGTACCTAGGTAACTGATAGCAGCTCTGTGAATATTCCTGTCAAATTTAGCCCAGGAGTATTTATTTTCTAAAATAACAAAGCTGACACTTGCCTGTTGCACATGGAAAATTTTAGTTAAAATTATTGAGGTGAGAAGGGCTTAAACTGCTGTGTTTTGGAGTGCTTAGTCACTGCTTTTCTGGGGCTGTTAATGTCCTTTGAGTTTTAAGAAGCAGTACTCTGATCTTGTTCATAATACTGAATAAGTGGAAGAATTTTGCATCTTTGTAGAGACAGGTGGATTGGCCAGCTACAGTTGTGGAAGTTTTCCTCTTCTGCAGTTTTGGGAGAGTTGCTAAAATACATTGGGCCCTCCAGTAGTTTAATCAAAGGTCAATAAAATTAGCAACTCTTTCTTCTCATGTCTCCTGTTGCAGCCAATTTTAGCATGCCAGGAGTGCGTGTGTTAGATGGAGAGCTAATTTTTTAATAGCAACACACCTTTTCATTACTGCATTGGCTACAATTTGAGGTAGCCCTTAGTAATTGAAGAAAAATCCAGCTTCCCAAGCTTTTTTAAGATTATGATTATGCTTGTTTAGTTCTGTATATGAGAAATTTGAGTTTTCTCATTTGATTCATAAAAAGACTTCATGGAGTGAGTGAGATCTACAGTCATGATAGGTGAGTAACTATGTTTTCAATGAGTATAGTTATGTAGTGTTTCAAGATGCATTGCAATACTAGAGCGTGGTAAACTTAAAAAGATGTGTAAATTGAGTCTCTGTATAGGCATGTTTCAATTTCTCACTGTAAAGCTGGCCCAGAGGAGGAAATCACTTTGCTCCTCCTTCCCTCCAAGGTCACAAGCATCCTGCCTTGAATTTCATCAGCCTGTGTCAAAACAGAACCAGGACCTTGGTCTTGCTGGCCAGAGCTCCTTGGGGTGGGAGCTCTCCAGAGCCACCTTTCCTACTGGGCTGATTGGTTGAAAATCTAAACTGGAGTCTGAGGGCATTACTCAGTGAGGCTGAACTCCCCTTCTGAAGGAAAAACCCAAAGAGCCAAACCCCAGTAAGGGAATACTGCCCTACTCTGACCTGAGTATGAATGAATGAGCAGTAAGAATCAGCACCATATCACTTTTTCTGGTGGTGGTTCTTCAGAAAGGTGTCACAAAACCAGATGTCTGTTTGTAGGAAATGAAAGAGTTAGCCCTTCTGGAATCTTGAAAGGCAGTTTTTGGAGGAGTGGTGGGTGCAATAGATGCCCCTTGTCCTTTCCACTGAGTGATTTAAGCTAGAGCAGATTCTATCTCAAATGTAAAATATTGACTTTGATTTCAGTTTGAAGTTCATACTGAATTCAGGTGCACATTGTGAAATTGATAAAGAATCTTTTCCAGATTCCAGGATTAATGAAAAAAACATTATCTTTAAAAAAATCCCAAAAATGGGACTAAAATAGGGAGGAAATGAGCTTGTAGACTTTCTCTCAAATACCACAAATTATTTTCCTCGATCTTCTTTCCTCAGGAGCTTAACTTCTGTCCTCTTTATTTCAGAAGAGCTCTTGCAAATGAAATTCTTCTAAGCCAGAATACTTCTAGTAAAACCAGGAGAGATCAGATTTCTTTATTTCAAGTTTAAGATGAATAAGGAGACTGATATGAAATATGTTGCATAAGGCTTTAGAATAAATTAGCCAGAAATCACTTGATATTTTTGGTAGCACCAATGTGTTTATAGTATGTTCCAGACGCTCAGGAAAGGAAAATTTCCCTTGAAGATTTTAGTCTGCTAGTATGCTGCCCTTAAGGTTTTCTTCATCTTTTGTGCTTAGTTATTGCTGGGATCATGGGCTTAATATTTAATACTTGTTCCAGAGAAGCACAGTAGAATGGAATAATAGTAGACATGACTCAAACTTTGACTTTAGAAGTTGCCAACTATGACACTGTTTGACCAACTATAGAAACATGTGTGCATCAGGGAGGAGAGATATGCTGCGGGGGCAGAGATGAAACAAATACCACCAAAGTTAGGCAATTTGTAGCTCTTCCAGTCTTAATCTGTTGGGAGTAACAGCACATGGCTCTCTGTGTTCCAGCAATCTAAAGAAACTTTTGTACCTTTCTGGGTAACAATGAGTACTCCCTTGAGTATCCATAGCTGCAGTTTGAAGGCACAGTCCAGAGATGAACTTGGGATGGAAAGGGCTGAAATGGAAGTTTTCTGCTGACTTGGTACTACTAGTTCAACTACAGTTGAGCTTGGGAAGGGATCCTGAAAAT